GTGGTAATGGTCACTTTCATGGCCCCAAGGCTTCCTGTTAAGACATGGCTGTCACCAAAAAGTGCCACTCTTGCTGCTCTTCTCCTACCTTAAACCACATCAGGTTTGTGTTACAGCTTGATTGCCCATTCTACTACACCATAGATTAGCAGGTCCTCTCCTCCATCCCAACTGTGCACCACCAGTGATCCTGTTGTTGCGGCCAGAAATTGCTGCCTGAAAAAGCAGCAACAGCTCGCTCTCTCCAGAGTACATCAACCCTTCTTCTTTGACCAAGCCATCCCAGAGCTTGACTTCCATCCCTGAGTAGAAAGATGCTGTCTGCCCCATGGCCTAGGACAATGTTTTCCAACGAAAAGCATGAGAAAGGAATGTGAGGGCTCTCCAGGGAGTCCTGGAATCATAGGTGGAGCATGATTTGTCAACTGATCAGAAAGGAAATTTTGGGTCTTTAGGCCTTAGTGTGCTAAGGTCTAGTGCAGTAATAGTTTTCCATGCAAAGCTGTAGCCATTTGATGTCTTTCCCATTTGATGTAATGGGGTGACACAGAGAAGATGGAGCAAGACTGAGAAGGTATGCATGATAATAGGAGAGGAAGCAATGGACACAAGTTGGAACACGATAAATTTGGATTAGACGTTAGGATTTTTTTTTTTTTACCGTGAGGGTAGTTAAATACTGGAATAGGTTGCCAAGAAAAATTGTGAAACCTCTGTCTTCAGAGCTGTTCAGGTCTCAGCTGGACATGGCCTTGAGCAACGTGATTTAATTAGACCTGTTTTGAACAAGGGAGTCAGACTAGATGACCTGTGGAGGTCCTCTCCATCCATGGTTATGAGTCTGATTCCACTATTCTGTGGAGACACAGTCACTGAAGCTGCTGGACTTCATCTTTCTTTCCTTTTTTCAGTAGCCTGAAATGTCACATAATGACAGCACATCATTACGTCCCATACAGAACCATGTGCTCCTGACCCAGGATCACACAAGCATCAGTGTGGCTCCACTGTGCTGCTGCTTGCCCACCTTGCTTTCTGTCAAGCACGAGTCTCGCAGGTAAAATAGTGTGGTGCCAAAGCCTGCCTTAGAGTCAGATTGTCAGCTGGTGTAATCCATCAGAACTTTAAGCCAACGATATCACAAGTGAGCACCTGCCATGAGGGAGGTGCTCAGATCTGGACTCATTCCCTCAAATATCATCATTTCAGATGGTGTTCATGGCCATGCTCATCTCGATTAATGGCAGCCCATAGCCCTCTCGTCGCTAACATCTCTGTACTTTTGCATATACTCTTCTTGCAAGCGCCACTTTCCCAGGGTTGCAAATATGTCCCAACTCAAGGTGGTATTACCATGCAGCTCACTGCTCACCAATGAGTTTTGGGTGTTGTTGGAGAAACATTTGCTTTGAATCTGGAAAACCTGATGGCCCTTCTCCATCTTCTACCCTCTGCCCTATTCTTTGAGGTTGGTTTTCTTGGTTCTCAGTCGATAGCTGTGCCTTCATGTGTCCTTCTGGCCTCCCCTGTGTTTCTGTGTTGGCTTGCAGTGCCCAGCCTGCTGTAAATACCATCTTGTTTGGAATGCTCCAGTCTTGTAGGAATTGGGAAGCTATTTGGGGAGCAGAGGAGAGGGCTGTCACTTAAGCTGTTTGTGGAGACCAAAGGCTGCTCTGCCTTTCCCCTAGGGAAAATCACAGAAGCGCTGAAGAAGAGGGAGAGCATGACCTTGGCAATAAGCAACAGATGAAGACGCCAGTTACATGCTCCTTGTCTAAGCTAAGGATGCCAGTAGGAAATGTAGATTGAGGAGAATCGAAGTTGCCCATTCTAGAGTTGTTTAGGTCTTGCTTGTGTCTCTGGGGACACCAGCAGGATATTCGTGCTTTCCGTGACATAGTGGGTGAAATTAGGGTCCTATCCTCTCCTTGTCCATCCAGCTCATCTGAGCATCTCTCAGTGCTGGAACTGCTCTCTCTACCCTGACATAGCCCTGACCCATCCAGATCTCTCAATGGAGGAAATTACAGTTATTTATAATTAAGGGTTGACAAAAAATGTTGCTGGTGTCAAGGGAACAGCAGGCGACAGCCAGAAAAACATCATGTCTCCAGAAGAGGGGCGGCGGGAATATCCCTCTGAATAGGGCTGACGTCAGCTCTCGGAATTTGGACAGCCTGGAAGGGTTTGGGGCTATTTTTCCAAGATATCATAGGTCAGGAATCAACATTATTTTTAAGTTTGTGTGCCCCGAGCAGTTTTGATGTGTGAGGGAGACTTTCTCTCCCCTTTCCCCCTCCTTTACGCTCTATTTCTATGAAATTTTTGCTTCTCTTCCTTCAGAGTCATGCCGCAAATATGCCCTTCAGGTTTATTTATTCTTCTCCCTATCTACTCCTCTCGGCCTGCTCCCGTCTTGGTTGGGTTGAAGGGATGGCGTCAGCGTGGCGCATGTCTGGGATGCTCAGGCGAGACATCACAGAGAAGAGATCATGTTCTCCTAATTTGACGTTTCCGGTTGGGAGAGTGTTCTCTCTGCAAGCTGATGAGCTGGGGAAAGTGTTCTGGGAATGCTGCTTTGTGGTGGGAGATCTTGGGGCCTGGTGAAGACAAGCTGGTCATCTCATCTCCCCATTAAATGCTGCCATATAGTCCAGCCAAGATTTTCCAAAGTGACTGAAGTTTCGGAGCTGCTTTGTTGCTGGGAAGGTGGGTGAGATGTCTCCAGCCCAGGATGGCCTGCTGGGGCTGGTGGTAGGGGAGAGGTAGTTGGCAGACCCTGATTATCTGACACTTCCCAAGTCAGTAATGGCCTCTGAAAGTCTTTTTGCTATTTCAGATCTGGGGAAGTGGCCACCCTTGGGTTTACCGAGCTCTGTTCTACATGCTATCCTGCTCTAGTCTGCATCTGGAAATCTGTTTCTTTGTTTTTTGACTTTTTCCTCCTTTTGCATTTGCTGTAGCAACCTCTCTCTCTCTAAAGAAGTCTGGTATAATAACTTGACTAGGGATCTTGCCATCTCAAACAGTGTATTTGCACATCTCTCGTTGGTTTCCCTTCTCATTTCACATCTCGGATGAGAACACGCCTTTTTCCCCTTAGCCCATGCTCAGCTTTTTAGTCCTGCCTTCCGTAATTCAATGAGGTGAGGAATTCGCTAATGGATGCCACCTTTACAGAAGCCGCTCGTGCAAATATAGCTGGTGTGCCTTCATGGCCAGTCCAGCATAAAGAAAACATTGCATTCCCTTCATAATCTCTCCGTGCAGCTTAAAGATGCCAATTGCTACTGGAAGCATGGGAAGAAGTGAAATGCTTTCCACCACCTTAATGTTGCTGTTGGCCTTATGCTCCAGGTTTAGTCATTCTTATGACATATTTCCACAATGGGGCATTTCCATCATCATTCCACAGTGATGTATTTGAAGCCTTTCCACGACTTTTTTTCCCTGCTTAGAATCTCCGAAATTAATAGCTTCACAAACCGTGGGTCAGGGTCCTCAGATTTTGAAGACCGAGACAAGTCCTAGAGACAATGTCTTCTTGGGCTACCTGTCCTAACGCTGCCTCAGCCCATGAGGTTAATGGCACTGATGGTGGAAATGGTAGTACTTGATTTAAAAGAGTATCTGGCATTTGCAGCAGAGCCCAAGGCCCTACAATCCCGCTGCTATTATTACTGTAATTATTATTGTTGTTATTACGTTAGATCCTGATCATTTTACACAGCTGAAGACATGAACTCCCTAAAGATCAATGTTGGGACTGTTGGTGCACCAGTGAATGCAATGCAAACCTCTGACCTGTGCAGAAACAACCACGCAGAGGGGAGAGAGAAACCTAAATTTCCTGACTGCTGTTTTTACTTCTCCATGTGCTGAGACGTGCCACGTTGTGAGGATCGCTTTGCGGACACCCAGGCATACCTACGCATGTTACTGCTCTGCTGCAATGCCTATTGCCTACCCACCTCTCCCAGCCCATGACCTTTCCATATCATTTAGAAATGGATGTCCTGGACCCTTCCAATATTTTTTGTGCTCCTGTAACTCTTTATTCTCAACATTGGATATGGGAGGAGAGACAGCCAGCAGCATCGTCAGGAGGCTTTTCTCACTAAACATGCCCTTCGGTGGATCTGCCTCCAGAGATGTCCCTCTCCCCCCATTAAGCTTATTTTGGGAGCTCCTGTGCTTCCTTGCCCTGGCTTCTGCAGACATCCCAGACCTCCTTTCAGAGAGGATTCAGATCACGTGCAGAGAGACAAGTCCATGTGAAGAGGGCTCTGCTCTGGGCTCAGTGATGGAGGGACCCAGGCAGCGTCTCGCACACTGGTTGTCCTGGGGAAAAGGATAGAGCGGAGGGCTGTGACTGTGAGCTTCTCCAGACAGACTAGAGAAGCTGGAGAAGACACTTCTTGGCCTCAGCTGCCAAACACTCTCTGCTCCCAACAATAAGGTTTTATGTCCATTCCTGCCCTGAACTGTATCGAGGAAGGCCCCTGAAAACTCTTCTTGGAACCAGATGGAGTTCTGGATTCCTCCCTCTCTCCTCACACCTTGAGAAAAACTCACTTCCTTCCCTGCTCCCCAGTCAAATTCCAGTTTTTCCCTAGCATTTCCTTTCTTATCTCATGGTTTCTCCTGCCATTTTGGCTGCTTTTATCCTATTGTCTGGTATCTCTTCTGTCCCCGTTGTTGGAAAACCTTCTCTAAGAGTAGAACTCATCAGCAAAGGTACTGTAATTGGCAAAACTTCAGACTGCATGACTGCCTCCCACCCAAACCCCTCACTAGCAGAACTTGCATCTTACAGAGCAGAATTCGTACTGCCATGGGACATCCTGTTCAAACTTGCTGAATTTTGCCATGCTTTACCAAATGCTGTTTGTTTTGGAGGTCTGCTGCACCCTTTCCAGAATATCTGTGGGTGGCTCCTGCTTTTCCTCTTTGCTCTGTTGAAGTCTATGCTGACTATCTCCTCTCCCTTGTCCTTGCAGGGCGTACATGAGCGTGAAGGAGCTGAAGGAGGCACTGCAGCTGAACAGCAGCCACTTCCTCAACGTTTACTTTGCCAATTCGGTGAGGGAAGAGTTGGCTGGTGCTGCCACTTGGCCATGGGATAAAGAGGCCCTTAGTCACCTGGGTAAGCAAGCTACCCCACTCGTGGGGTCTCAGGGTTGTTGATTTTCCTCTCTCTTGGTTGATTTGGCAAAAAGAAGCAGCTATGATTTGGCTCAACATTGAGGATGTTTAATAAGGAGGTCATGATAACAGGCTTTGGGTGTACCAGTAGCTGCTTCTGTAAGGACAGGAGCTGCCTGTTTCCCGTAAACATGTGGATAATGTGGTGAGGCTGCACCCTGACCAGAGACTTCCAGGTTGTTCTACAAAACTTTTAATGGTGAAGGCACTGAGACAGTGGGATGGAGAGCTGCAGGTTCACCATCAGTGCAGGCTCTGGAGAGGGGTTTAAGCTTGCATTTGGCTTCTCTGGGACCTTCCAGGTCTATCTTCCAGGATTCTGGAAATGGTGAAATTCACTTTGCAGCAAACAATGACAAACAGATAAACCAGGAGTGTCAGTGATTTCAGAGCCGAGACTCCAGATTTGAGTGACTCCAGAGCTGACCAGGCAGCGAGCACTGCCTACTTCTGAACCCAGCTGCAAATTTGAGGATGACTATGAAATTAAACCATGTTTTTATAACTTCGCATGCTGCCTGCTGGAGACAAGGTTCTCCTCGGCTTCAGTGAATTCAAGGCAGACCCTCAAGGTCATCAGTCTTGGCAGGCTACAAAACAGTCAAAACGGCAACTGCTTCACTAGAATGTGAATGTATTGTGTGTTTTCTCCAATTTCTGCCGTCTCTCTTTCCTGCCTCTCCCTTCACCTCTTCAGTGTCGGAGTTCTCTGGCAAAGCCCTTTACACTTTGCAGTCAAAACATCCAAAGTGTTTCTCAATAAGAAGCTGGAAATAATTACTCCTGACACCTGCAGAGCAGACCTAGACCTTCTGCTTTTACAAGTGCGTGATGTTCAACCCTTCAAAGTTTTACGCTGCTGTTAAAGACCTGTTTTAAAATTCTTTTTTGCCAGCTTCCCTCCCTCAATGAGTTTCAGGACTGTTTTTTTAATAGCTTAATGCTACAGTTGCTTTTTCAGGAAGGCAAATCTCCATGAAACTTCTTCCTTCAGCTTCCAGAACTCACTTCCAAGGCTCAGCTTGACCGTCACCTTACTACAGCAAGTGCTTCAGCCACACATGTTCTCTTCAGACCCCTCCCAATGACTAGCACGGAGTTGTACGGAAGGGTAATCAGGGTGACCGGTTTCATCAAAGGCTTGCATTTAGCTTCAGTTTCAGAGTTTGTGTCCAGCCAGGGACACAAGAGGTGGCACCATCTGGAAATGTTGGATCAGGGTTTTACCGCCAACATTCAAGGGAAAAGGGGTGTTGTCTTCGCTCTAGTGCCAGAGCTGTGAAGTATGAAGCTGGATCAGAACTTCTCTGAGGCTCTGGCACAGGCTGAAGACTTTGGTTCAAGACTGTCCTTGGTTCAAGATTTAATGATCTTGGGAGGGCAGGTGGCAGACTGTTCTCTGTAAACAGTAGGTTCCACCACATCATCAAGTGGTTTGTACCATGCACAACGTATATTATTGTCCAGCACAGAAGAAACTTGGGACTGGGCAGGTCGGGAATATATGGCTTTTGACAAAACCTCTCACAAGAGGCTACTGGAGAATCTGAGTAGATGTGAAAGTAAAGCAGTGAGGAAAGAGCAAGGAAAACCTTGTGAGGAGTGAATAGTAGTTGAAGAAAAATTCCTGAGCTTTAAGGACCTAACAGTGACCAGGGGTGGAGGCAGGTCTTCACACGAGAGGGGTCCGTGTCCAAGAAGAGAGACTCCTTACCTTATGCTGAATCTTGCTAATCTCCTGTCTATCCTGACCTTAAAATATTACAGTCAGCACACAGGCCCTGCTCACCCTATGCCACTGTCTGCTCCCACGGAGAAGAAATGCCAAGTTGATTTTTTCTCTACATACGTACAGACCCTCTCATGCTTTGGGTCTCCTCCGGAATCAAATTGGTTCCTTGAGTTTGACTTGACTTCCCCAAGAATCTAACCTGCCTCTTAGCTCCAGAGACAGTTGGTCAGCTTTTGCTCTGTTCGTGTCACTGAACAGGACTTTCCTGAAGAAAGAGAAGTACCATGAGACTTTTTCTCTCCAACTGCCTTCCCTTCTTCTATTTCAACACTTCCTCTCACTCCAAAGCTCACTAAACATACTGTTTCCAAACTGTTCTCCATCAGTTCTTCTCTAGATGTTTTTTTTAACCTGCCAACTGGACTTTGAACTCCTTGGAAACCATTCTTTCATGACCTTTCAGTGTGCCTTTCAAGAAGGTCCTCCTCACCTTAGCGTTGGTATCTTCACCTTCTGGAAGTCTTCAGTGAACTTTGTTTTTGGTTCCCTTCTCTTCATTTATGGCAGGGGTGGGGGATCAGAAATTAAGTGACCATTCCTAAGCTGATGACTTACAGACCTATTGCTCTCCTCCAGATTATTTTCCTGACTAAATCTGAATTTCAGGCATCCTTCCTGAAGGTTTAGGGATGGTTTACCATTTTAGACGACTGGTAATACCAACCAAAAGCAACTACATTCATTGAAGCATAAGAGATAATTACTGACTTGGAGAGGGTGAGCTGGTCTATGACGCTTCTCTAAGCAGTATTTCAGCTGCTGTTGAGCTCCTAGACAAAGACAAGTAGCAGCCAGCTAGCAGCCGAGGTGGGTCTCAGGTCTGTTTGCACCGCTCCATCTAACCATACTGTCTGTCTCAGTCTTTCCACCGGAATCACAGTGAACTCCTCTCAAATTCAGAGTTCTTGCTCAGTCTGGAATGAATTTTCTGAGAACTTAGAAGTAAATCTTTTTAACTACAAAAGACAAGCAGTCGAAGAAGTCCTGTCATAAAAAACAGCTTTCCGCAGCGGAAAGCCTTGCCTCAAAAACCCTAGCAATGTAGTAATGCAGACGCTTTAAACTTCATGTGTAGCTGCATGTGAACTGTATTTGCGTAAACATGGTCAAAAGGCAAGGGAATTGTGGATATTTGATGTTATAAATACTTTCTGCAGTTATATAAGCTGAGGCCAGCTCATATATCTGGCTGAGGTCAGTGGATCCTGAAGGAGGGCCAGCCATTCCATCAAAGGTACCTTAAGCAATGGCCATCTTCCTGTCTGACTAACCGTCATGCGTTTGTTCCATTAATTGCCATGACTCAGTGTTTGGGGAAGACTGGTCCTGTAATACAGGTTCAGCTTTGTGGTTTGCTGTTTAAATATCCCGTGCTTGCTCGAGCATGCGCTCTCAACAACTGTTGCTGACCCAGGAACAGGTTGGCTTCTTGGGGTCTGGCTTGAACCAGAGTCCTTCAGCATTGCCATTGATCAGAGCTGGAAGGAGGTCAATGTCCTGGGACTGTGAGCTTCCAAGAGATGTGTGAGTGAAGATGAAGTGGGGTCCACACCAGTGGTAATCATTCACTGTACTGATGGACTGGGCATCTCTTGTTGCTTGAGTAGGGTGGAGGCTTGACCTTGGGGATATTACCAGCTCTGCAGCTGTAGCTGGTAGGTCTGGTCTGGGGGGAGAGGGTGTTATGAGGCCAGGCCCAAAGTTTTCCATCTGCCTGGTCTCAGTTGGGTGAGCAAGTCCAAAGAAGACTCTTGTTCACCTGCCTTGGAGTGCTGCACCCTCTTGATGTCACAGGGACATGACATATTGAAGTTTTTATCTTGGTTGTGTAAATGCTGACCTTGGGGGCCTCCTGGGGCTGGTTCTCGGGTATGAGAGGGAGAGTTCACTTAAAGCTCAATTTAGCCCATGTCCCAGGGCAGCAGGAGGCAGAGGAGAGAAGGAAAGCTTGATCTGCAGAGGAGGGAGAGGGGACGCTGGTGTTGTTACAAACACTTGCAAATCTTGCCTTCACAGCCAGGACCCTGCAGAGGGGAAATACAACTTCCTGGTGGAAAGCTGAGAACTCTCCGAGCTCATCAGGGAGGTGTGGGGACAGGGAATGGAGGGACGGGGACGTTCTGGAAGGAAAGCAGAGTTCTCATGCTGTTTCTAATCCTGCCATCTAATTAGCTGTAAAAAAAAAAAAAAAAAAAAAAGAAAAAAGACATCTGATTCATACAAAATTTGTTGATAAACACTGTAATAAATAATAAGGCATAAATACATACACCAACTCCAAGGGAGAGTCCACATAGAGCTCAAATGCTGAATCGCAATGGTTTTTGAAAAGCATATACAGTATGTACAACATTCCCTGGATTTTTGTACCTATACACTATTTTCATTCAGGTTTCATCCAAACTTTTCTTAAAAATGGGAACATTCTCAATTAACAATTTAAAGATTCTTTTATATGAAGAGCGTTTGGTTTCTGTTTGGTCCCAGGGCCTCCCGTGCCCCTGGTGCTCAGACCCATTCCTTGGGGTTAGTGCCACAGGACACGTGCAGGGCTTTCGCATCTCGTTGATTTGTTTGTGAACACTATTTTCTTTCTGCATGTGCATTCCTCCTTTCAGACCTTTGGACAGGCAGCCCTCTGCCTTGCTCAGGCTTGAGTTTGGCTGCAGAGATGCCTTTTCTTTCTGTTCTCTCTTCTCTCATGCCTTGTTTTGAGTAAAATGAGAAGCAAAGTTGTTGGTTTTTTTAATGTGCCCACTGGGTTCTCTCTCCATCAATGGGATGTTCTATGCTATCTATAGCGTTTACCAGCCTGGTAATTGAGAGGGGCATGGTGTGCAAAAACCTAATGATTGACAGGACACAGCATGAAGGTCCCAGAAGGATTTTTTCAACCTCTGTACCTTCTTGTGGCCCATCTCCAGCCAACTAAAGGGTCAAGAGCTGACTGATGGTGTTTAAGGTCCTCTGCTCTGGTGCTTTACAGCTGCGGAGAACGGGAATGAATGCGTCTGCTTTGTGACCCATCTTTTGCCGCAAGCCAAATTGCCTTGGGCTTAAGATCCACACTGGGGGGAGGAAGAACAACAAACAAGAATTTTTTACTAAGAAACAGTGCCAGCTGACAGGTCGGCAGTGTCTCTTAGCCCTTCCATGAGCCACACGTGCAGGATGATCCATAGAAGATGCCACCCTTATTTCTTCACCCTATCGCAACCCTGTTGGGTTCAAGAGAATTGCTCGGGGTATTTCTGAAGGACCCTGTCCTGCCCCAAACCAGTGTTCACCCAGTGTGGCTCCGTCAAAGGAGTCACAGACCTGCTGGTGTCTGGCCAGGGACACCATGATCTGAAGAAAGCCCTCTCTTGGAAGGAATGCCCTGTACTTGAGGACACGAAGCAGTCCAGTAGCACACGGAGCTGATCCAGGAGCAGATTTCATGCAGCCAGTGCTGTGGCTGGAGGCAGGATCACACGGTGGCCCCCTGCCAGTTTTGACTGTGCTGGCAGGGGCAGCCATCAGCAGCAGAGATGCAGTAGCAGAGGCTCTGCTGTGAGGTAGCTGGCACAATAAATCCTCCAGGGCCCTGCAAAGGAGGGAGCAAGCTGTCCTGGAGCCAACTATTCACCGCACTGCAATCCAAGCTGTCTGGGTTAAAATCAGTTGGGTAAAACCAGCATCCCGTGGCATGGAGGTATCGCCTGCAGTCAGCCTGGACACGGGCTGGGGTATGCTTTTTGCCCCCTTGTCTTGCTGATGTTCCCCGGCCCTTGATTCTCCACCATAAGGCAGCATGGAACAGTGGATGGAGCAAGGAAACAAGCAGGGGAAAGGGGAGGAAATGACCAATGAAAAGCCTCAAAGCAGGGAGAAAAAGGCAGAGTTTCCAAAGAGATTTTCATTTGGACAAAGTAAAGAAATAAAAGGAGGCCAGAGGAGAGAGGTAAGTTTTGTTCTTGAGCATCCTCCATCGATGGTTTCCCAGCAGATGTGGTACAGGGTGTGTGTCCCAGGTCAGGAGTTGGAGATGCTGGCAGTGAACAAAGGGAAAGCTCTGCTCCACCTGGTTTTCCTCAGCATCATTGATCCTTGCTCTTCCCATCGCAGCCAGGTGGGCAGGAGAGGAAAAGCAGCTTGTCCTGCAGCCAAGGGACAGCCTAGGGCAGGATCAGTATGGGTCCTATCCAGCTCCATGCTGTTGCTGTCAGCATGAGGTGGCAGATCTGGGCAGTTTCTGGAGGACTTAGCCTGTACCCATACTCTGGCATCTTCGACAGTTGAACCTGCACCAGACCAGCTTGGAGATGAACTGTCCCTTTGTGCCCCCTTGACCCAAGGGGCTTGGGTGTCTCAGTGAAGAGGAGTTAGGACTGTCATGGGTGGGGGGTTCTCACCAGGTTGACTTGGTGTACCTTGGCCCCACGCAAACCCCTCTGAAAGGGAGGAAGGTATCTTCAGAAGCTACGTTTTGGAAAATCCAACTCTAAAATACACAGTGAATTTGGGCCGGGTTTGTTGTAGAAGCTTAGTGGATAGCAACAGCACCTCATCAGAGTTTTAGTTTAATCCTTAGGGTCTGCTTTGAAGGTTGAAGCAATTGTTTCCTCAGCAGGGGCCAGAGGCAGTGCATCTGAATCTTCATATGCACCTGCACTGAAGGTGACTTCTAGTTGGCACAGCCAAGTGTGTCAAGACTTTGCTAGGCACCTCGCTGTTTTCACCTGCCATGGGAGCTGGTGTGCTTTAGCTGCTTGTCTAGGCTTGGGGAGGTCTTCTGTCCTCTGGTTCAAAAGATTATCCCTGTAAACTAGCAGCATGTCTTGGTGTGGTGCCCTGGGTCCAAACCTCATTTGGAGTTGTAAGTGTGAACCAAAGCAGACACTGAATTATAAACATGCGAAAAGACACAGAGGGAAATGGTAGCTGAAATGATTGACGATGTTGGGGGGAGTGGTGTGTTCAGAAGGGGAAGAAAAACCACCGGCCCCATTCCACTGCAAGAGGGCAAAGGAGCTGTCTTCCCATCCTACAAGAGAGTGAATATGTCCAACTTTAGGTCTCCATCTGGCACCTCATTTGTAACCTGGAAGCACAATGAGAAGAGTTTTACCTCGCACAGGTGAGTGACGATGGCTGCCCTCTGTCTCTTTCTCTGGATGATGTTCTCTCTACTTGCAATTCTAGGTGGTGTTGTCCTCAACCCTGCTTATTATGGTATGCATGGCCACACGAACACCATGATCCATGAAGTGGGACACGTCCTGGGGCTGTACCATGTCTTTAAGGGAGTGAGCGAGCGGGAATCTTGTGACGATCCCTGCAGGGAGACAACTCCGTCCATGGAGACGGGAGACCTCTGTGCCGACACTGCTCCCACCCCAAAGAGTAAACTCTGTCGGGATCCGGACCCTACCAATGACACCTGCGGCCAGACACATTTTACAGGAACGCCCTTCAACAACTACATGAGTTATACAGGTAACAAGTAATCATTGCCAGGAATTGTAAGGGGTCACCTTCCCTGGAAACCTGGGTTTCTCTCCCACCAGCAGTCCCTTTCCTCGTTCCCCAGCTGATGTGGTCCCTCCCGGCGTGTCGGGATGCGGCAGGCTGCAGCCTGTGCTTGCAGGAGCTTCTTAGCCCCCTTCTCGCTGCAGGCCATTTCCATCCCTCACTCCCTGCCAGTCCATCGTTGGACAAGTGTCTAGGCTGTTCTCGTCTGCATGGTGATGGGCCTTTGTTCTACAGTCCTGAAGCAACTTTATTATGAATATTTTTATTATTATTTTACTATACTACTATACTATTGTTATTATTTTGCTATTTTACTATTTTATTAGTATTATTGTCACTACTACTACTATTATTACAATTTTGGACCTTCGAGCAGAGCAAGCGCAGGGCTGGGGAGCTGCTGAGGCAGTGCCATCTCGTGGCTTTGGGGACACACGACACCAGGGAGCCCTGCCAGGAGAGCCACCACACGCTGCTGTCTCCCAGCTCTCCCTCGAGGTCCCCCAGACAGGGTTTGGAGATCAGGAAGCATGCACATTGTTTTGCCTCTCTCTTTTTATTTTTTTTTATTTCCCCCCAGATGATGACTGCACCAACGCCTTCACCCCCAACCAAGTCGCCAGGATGCACTGCTACCTGGACCTGATGTACCAGCGCTGGGGCCAAAGCAAGAAGCCTGCGCCCATCCCAATCCCTCCCATGGTCACGGGACAGACGCAGGACTCCCTCAGCATCTACTGGCTGCCTCCCATCAGCGGCATCATCTACGAGAGGTAAGGGATCTGCTGTTACGGTGGGCTCAGGCTTGCACAGGAGCCTGCTAGAGGGCACAGGGGACCCTCAGTGGGGCATCCCCTTCCCCCTTGGTCATCCCCAGCAGAGCCCCCAGACACCAAAGCCAGGCTGCTGCGATGGCTCCCGCTAGCACGCGGGCTCTCCTGCAAGCCTTCTGCTGTCAGGGTGCCGGGAGGGGAAGCCAAAAAGCATCAGGAGGCAACGCCAATTCTTAAGCCCCGGAGTGCAATCACAGAATGAAAAATGAGCTTCATTTAGCACTTATTGTATAAAATTGCCATTTACCAAGAGGAAATGCAGCTTTGTGGTTAAGGCAGGGAGCTCGAACCGCGAGAGCTGGGTTTCATTCCCAGCACTGTCACAGACTCCTGTAACTAACGGGGGGGTAAGTCGGGAAACTTTTCACGCCAGAGAAACGGTGCTGAGGAACCAGAGTTGTCTGGCTGGCAAGCAATGCGTGGGCCCCAGTACTGTGGGTGACTGTCCTCCTTCTCCCCAGCACTAGGGAGTCACCAAGACCTGGGTATGCCTCCAGTGCCTCTATTCAGCAGCCCCTCATACTAAAAGTTCTCGGTTTCCACCAGGTTTTAGGTCTATGCTTTTATTATGGGACCATAAGCATACGTTGAAAAAGTCTCGGACTTGTTTTAAAGCTGCTTCATAAAGCTTTTGCAATTCAAAGAAAAGCAGTGTTCGAGGGCATCTGGGACAACTCTGGGTCAGTGTTTACTGCCTTTTCAAAGAACCGATGCTCTCCATGATGCGCCTTTCATCCCTGGGGTAACGAGAGTGTGTACCTGTTACCCCCGCAGACATGAGAGCCTCCGAGTGCTGGGTGGCCTCGAGTCTTCCAGATAAACTGCTTTGGTGGGGAACGGGGTGGTCTGAGATCAGGAAAACACAGGTCTAGGAAGTAAGTGATGGGTCTTCAGATCCATCCCCGGCCCTTGCTCATAACCGGCTCAGGAGCTGGTCTACAATGGGGATTCTGCATCTTCTGTGACGAACTTGAAAAGGAAAGGGCCTGAGGCTGGTCTTTATCACAGAAAAGTCTCTTTTCTTTCCTGGAGAGCACAGTGGTACCCTCTTTAATTGACATTATTGTGACTGTCTTGTATTGCAGTAGTGACAAAAGCCAAAAACCTGACTCTGGGCTTTAGCGGAGATAGACCCAAGTGCACCCACCCAACGGCAGAGGCATTGCCCCGGCAAGCATGAAGTCTGTTAGCTCTGCTTCGTGGGTAGGGAACAGGCGATTCCATGGCTCACCCTACCCACAGAGCCCATAGAAAAGGAGGATTAAACCCAGCTTTTCCCACGGTCACTTTTATTTTCCTGTCTTTGACATAGCTTATCCCAAGCAGGATAATATGCCCAGGGCTTCCTGAGAGCTTAGCTTTGCTTTTCCAGCTTCCCATCTGATCTTGCCTGGACAAACACGGGTGGAAAACTAACCAGTCATGATCAGACATGCCAATGCCTTTGTCTTCTGACTGCAGGGAGCAGGACGCGCTCTGCGACAACTGTGCAGAGGACGGCACCTTCCGTCAGTACGTGCACGAGGCCTCTTCCCCTCGGGTCTGCGATTCCTCCGGCTATTGGACCCCAGAAGAAGCAGAAGGTGAGCACCTCCTCTTGTCCCCTGGCTGTGAATCTCCCAGACAGAGATGAGATCTTGCTGGGAAAAGAAAAAGAAGTTTGTTTTTCTTTCTGCGAGTGAGATGTCTCCTCTTTGGGGAGGGTCTTTAGTGCAGGAAGGAATCACAGGTGCCCAGAAGATGCCTGGTAACTGCCAGCTGGCTTTAGACAAACAAACTGACACCCCGATATTAACCCCAATCAGTGTCCAGGAAGGTGTTAATGAGAGATGCTGGTCAAAAGGGAGGGGCATTTCATTGAAATAAGTCTTACAACATAGATCTTGGGACCTCATCCAAAACCTCAGGGGCATTCACAGGCTTTGCAGCCTTGTCCAAAGGGAGCGAGAGGCGCTCCTTGCGTCGTCCCACCGAGTCTGTACCAAGTCCAGGGCAACCTGGGTTGGATGCAATTCCTTGCTGACAAGGAGAACAGCAGGGTGTCACAACTTCTCTTGTGCTGAGACCCAGAAGTTGGTTTAGAAGCCTACCTTGTGGGCACGGTGATGGCTTTCAGGGTCGTGCAGCTGCCATAGCAGCGGTTGCTCTTTTTGTACTGACTCAACTTCTCCAAGGGAAAAACAGAGGATGCAGGAGACCAGGTGAAATGATCCCACGAGCTGCACGTAGCGCAACATGCTTCTTTTGAACCACGTGGAGCCAGAGCATCTGTTAGTTCTGTGCACCTCCACGTTTGAGCCGCTGAGATTGACCGAAAATGTGGCAGGGTGGTTGCAGACAAAGTGCAGTTGGGACATGATGACACCTTTGGGATGTAGCCCATGCTTAGAGAACAGCACTGCCAGGATGCAGCTGAGATGCTGTGTCTGAAAACTCTTTATCTCTTGATAGCATCACAACGGGGGGTGGAATCAACTTAAATCATCAAATTTGTGCCTACTCAGTGACACCAAACAAATCCAAGGTTAGCTCGCTTATTGTCAGCAGTTTCTGTTTCCCCTGCCTGTCTGATTCACTGGCAAATTAAAACTGCTTCTGGAATTATTGGATGTCGTTTTCTCCTATGCAGGACCCACAATTATCACAAGTGCATGTTTGGTCTGGTGTAAAAGAGACAGGTTTTATGGTTTTTACAAGACTAATAGTAAATGGGTGCAGGTTTTGAACTGGTGCTGAGTCCTAAGAAATGTTTGCAGTGGTGGTTGAAGACAAGGGTATTTCTGCCACAGGATGATGAATTCCAGGGATGCTTTCTGTGCACTGAAAGCCCAGCACTACATTTCTTTTGCTGAGTGCTAATCCATCACCAGGGAAGGCAGGCTGGGGATCTGAGGTCAGCGTGGGCACCATCCTGGTGGAGAAACAGCCTTCCAGAGCTGCTTCCCTGGCTTGCTTCAGACCTGGTCCTTTCCTGCCTGTGACCTCTTGCAGCACATGCCTGTGGAAAGCTTTGGTATCTTTGCTTTGCTTAGCCCACGTCCGAACCTGTGCAGCCACAGGGACTGAGTTCAGGTGCCCTTAGCAAGCCTTCTGTGCCCATGAGACTACAGAGCAAGCTATGTGTGTTCCCAGCGGTGCCCAGGCTGTCTCTAGAGCTGCTGGTGGCACTGCAAGGAGCTGCAGCATGGATACCATTGTCCCTGTTTTAGAGGGCTGGGACACACAAGGCTTGGCAGATGCAGTGCTTGTATACGTACCCAGGAGCTGGACCAGCAGTGCTTGTTGCTTTCTAGGATGTTGGGGCAGATGCCACCAACTCTGACATGTGCTGGTATCAGGTGGAAAACCAGGTGGGTGTGCATCTATAGCACAGAGATGCACAAACATCTACAGGGTACCCGCAAGGAGGATCGCCCCTCTAGGTCAGTTGTCCCCTGGCTCTCATCAGTCTTCTCCTCACACCTCCTGCCCAGGACCCCCGGATGTGGATCAACCCTGTGAGCCCAGCCTGCAGGCCTGGAGTCCGGAGCTCCACCTGTACCACATGAACATGACGGTGCCCTGTCCCCAGCCTGACGGCTGCATCCTGGAGCTGCGCTTCCTGCACCCCGTCTACCCCGATTCCCTCACCCTCTGGACCACGTACCTCTCCATGGGCTCTCCCAAGCCGCTCTCTGACATTGAAGTCCTGACAGAGCAGGGGGAGTCCATCCATCTGGGACCCCTGGACACTTTCTGTGATGTCCCCTTTACCGTGAAGCTCAACATCCCTAAAAAGGTGTCCGGAGTCAAGATCTACACCTTTGACGAGCGGATGGAGATAGACACAGCCCTTGTGACCTCCATGCCCCGCAGCTCGCTCTGCTCTGCCTGTGAGCGGATCCAGTACCGAGTGCTTCGCGACCCACCGTTCGCCAACGGATCCCCGGCAGCCCCGGCACAGGCGCACCGCCAGTTCGTTGACACGTGAGTGACGATGCTGCTGTGTCGCAGGCTTGGTGGGTGGCTGGGACAGTCTTAATGACCTCCTCAGGTCTTGCCTTCGAATCCTGGGATGGTTCTGCTTGTGTTTTGTTTTGCCCCCTGCCCTGGGAATTGCTGTGCTCAATGCCATGGGCGATTCCCTATTCGGCATCGAGGAAGCTTGTTGCAGTCCCACCATGCTAGCACGACCCTTGCACGTGAGTCCAGGCTAACTAGAAGGAGCTTATTAAACCCGGAAACATTTTCCACATCAACACAACCAGTAAAATGATTGTTCAAGATAATGCCGCTTCTCCTCAGCTCAGACCCCAGGGGAATAAACAGCAGGCCCCTCTGCAGGGCTTGGCAGAGACCCTCATCCCACAGTCTCTGCCTCTGGCAGTTTAGAGTACAAAGACACATGTCAAACTGTGATGCTGCCTGGGCACACACATGCAACTTCTATAGCTGTGGTGAGCAAATCTGTTGCAGAAGCATGGGCTGTTGCCTGCTGCTCTTTCTTCAAGCCCTCTCTGTTCCTGCAGGGAAGTCACGCCTGGGCAGGTGTACCAGTACCAGGTGCAGGCAGTCTCTGGGACAACCTCAGGAGAAGTCTCCCCACCGCTCGTCCATGTCCACGGAGCACCCTACTGTGGGGATGGGAAGGTGACCACGTAAGTCAAGAAACTCCAGCTCTCAGCTGAGGTTCTTCAAGTTTTCAGGTCATCCTGCCTTAAAGGGAAGCACCGGGTTGGTCCTCCACCCGTGGGTACTTGACTGAAGATGCTGCACTGAATTCCTCCAGCAGACTGGACTGTAGAGCTTGTGTTTTGTAAAATGCCATGAGCGTAGGAGGTGGAGATGGTCTTTTTGAGGCAGGGTCTGGATGAGGGCTCCAACCTGAACATCCTCTGTGTTTGACTGCAGTGCTTGGATTCTGGCCCATTTCAGTGAGTTGTCGTGGAGTCTGACCCCAAAGGGATCAGCCGTTGGGACTAGCCAATATAACCTTCTTGCATGGGCACATGGTGGTGGTTCCACAGCAAGCACAGTCCCACATGCTGTGGTGTCTTTAGAGAGCTGTCTGGTCTCTGCTCAGAGACCCCAAATGATGAGGGATGCACCACATCTACACTGAGAGACTCCAGTGGTTCACCTGCTCCATCTGGGGATAAGTATGCCAAATTCCCATATTTTAGCTTTTTCAGAGTTCAACTTCCAGGTTACTCGGAATCCATTTCCTTTGAAAACAGCTTTCTTAAGTGTGAGGAAAGTGGACAACTGAAGTAAGTGCAGGAGAGATTGTGGTATTGTACAAGACCCAGCAAGGCAAAGAGGCTTACAGCAAGGCTAGCTGCTGAAGCGGTGTAACCTGGTACGGTTTTAGCATGAAGTCATACTAGCTGAAGACTTGGTCCAGAGAGAGCAAATGACCACATTAGCCTCCGTTGTCAAAGTCGATAGCAAAGTGAGAGGAGCAGAAATGGGCAGATAGCAACTGAGATTTTCAGCAGGCTTTCCTGAGCTGTTGTGGGGAAGGCCATGCAGGAAGCCTGGTCTGTGGAAGTTTTTACCTTTGTACCATCTGTGGAACAGTAAGCAGAAGATTGGACACAGTGGATCTTTCCTGTTAGATGATGGGTGGAGGTGGGTGAGCATCAGAAGGCATGGGTCTGAAGTTTCTTTGCCCCTTGTGTTTTGGGGTACGTAACTGTGCTCAAAGGAATAGGTACGAATCGAAGTGTTTCTGTCAGCTTTTCCCATCAGGTCTATTTTCTGCAGTATGGGGACAGAACCTTTTCAAGAAAACTACATGGGCTTTTTTTCCTCATGAGATACCCCGCATGTCAGCTGATACTGATCCGTATCTCCTCTTGGGCTAACCTTCTCTCTCTCCCTTCTCCTGCCTCCCCTTCTCCAGCTCCCACTGAAACACCAGCCCCATCTCGGAACCTCCTGCCTTCTCCAATGCTTGCTTTCTTCAGTAGCAAGTCTTCCTGATGCTTGGTTCTCTTTCTCCATTGTATATAGCTTCATTTTCTCCCATAGCTCTTGCCTCAGGTCTTATAAGAAAGTTACAGTACAGTCATGTTGTCTTATTCCTTGGCAAGATATGGTGTTTTCTCCCATCTACCTTACTCCACATGTGGTTTTCCTTTTCCCTGCTTCTGTGGAAATGGAACCAAGATATGGGGTCCTCACTCATGATTCGGCAGAAGCACAGGAGTGTATAGTCCAGGGTGGTGTTAACATGTCTGGCTGTTGTCATCTTAGGAGCCTGGAGGAGGAATGCGATGATGGGGACTTGCTGGATGGAGATGGCTGTTCCAGGAAGTGTAAAAAGGAAAAAGGCTTCAACTGTGTTGGTGAGTCCAAACGGACTGAGATGTCCTTTTGAGGCAGGAGTCAAAACTGTACGTTAATCACACTGCTCCTCAGAGCAGGGGGTGATGCACCTCATCGCAACAAAACGTGGATCTGCAGCTGGAGTGATCCATGGAGCTTGTCAGGCCTTTGTGGTGGGGAAATCCCAGGGCTAAATGGCCAGCACGCCTCTGGGGACAGGAGGAACTGTATGTGTCTGGAGCCCAGTTTGTAAATGGGTCATGCCTGGTCTCCTTGCAGGGGAACCAAGCCTGTGCTATGTGCACGATGGGGACGGTCTGTGTGAGCCATTTGAGAAGACAAGCAGTGTCCTGGACTGCGGTCCCTACACGCCCGATGGATACGTGGACCTCTGGGCAGCGAAAGCCTATGCCTCCCATCAGGATGCAAAGTCCTGCCCTGCTTCCTTGGTCACTGGAGAGCCTGTTGTGAGGGTGAGTGAAGACATGGCCACAAAAATAAAGACTTTTCTAGCAAAGCCCATGCAGTGTTCCCATGCAAGGAGCCAGTAGGAGACCTGGGCATTTCTCACATCCCTCTTTCAGCAGTCCCTAAGCCCAGGAACTGCAGTACATGGAGGGGTGTTTCATCCAGGCGGGGAGCGCATCCCCAATCATGCAGCTTGCCTAAACAGTGACCACCACCATCCCACCAGCTAAATGCACAACTTTGAGTATGTGAGCAGCCCCACTGTTGGTTTAAAAAACAATCCTGTAAGTCTGATACCTTATAAGGTCAGGGCCTGAAAGGATAAAATCACGCATACAGTAGCAACTGTGTTGCTCTCAAACTCTCTGATCTGAAGCCAAGGAAAAATCGATGGGAGAATTCCCATCTTTTATATGGGCTTTGGAGCAGGGCCTGGAGGTCTAGGACAGGATTTCGCCTGATTGGGGTTAATGTGGTGTGCATATGTGCTTTCCTAGCAAGCTGAACAAGGATAAGAAATATGTAGAGAGGTCATATTTAGCCCTCTATACTTGTGTTTCTACCAACCTGATATAAGGAACAATCTCCTTCAGACCTACAGCATGATTAAATTGCCCAGATGTTTGTGTCTAATGAGATACCTTGGGCTCAGGTGTCTGCTCCTCTAGAATGACACACGTATCTGCCAGGTTTTGTGTGCCAGGCCTATGGGGATGTCCGGGATACCACAGGGCATCGAATGGCACACAAGACTGGTATTCAGGTGAATGAATCACACCTTCCGATCTCATCATCCCAGCCAAAATCAGGAGGCTGTGATCTTAGCTACCTTCTCACAGCTTGGTTCATTTCTTACTCAGCCCCACAGACGACATAGGGTGATTAAACAGCATATTTATTGCACTTCATAATGGCAAAGGCCTCCTGTGCACGTGTGTGGGCAGTGAGATGTCACTCCTGCTTAGGAACCCACATCCTAATTGTCTTCATCCTAGGAACCAACTTGGGATCCTTCTAAACATTTATTGAGTCTTCCTTGAGGTTTTGTAGGTGCTGTTCCTTTCTCTGACTTTCCTTGCTTCTTTCTGGATTGAAATAAATCTCTCCTTTCAGGCATGTAAATCCCACCTTCACAACATGCCAAAGGACCTTTCCCTGGCTGCTTGGTTCCCCTGCGCTCCCAGCCAAGACAACGCTCAGGATGCAGACGAGGAGAGGGTGCCCTTGGGCAATGAGGGAGTTTGGCTCAAGGTAAGTGAGGCTGTGCGGTTGGGCAAAGAAGGATTCGCTTGTCTTTGCCTTAGCACTTTGGTGACAAAGACCCATCCTTTTCTGTCCTGTAGGAGCTACAGCAGCCTTAAAAACTGCTCAGATAAGACTTCGTATCCTACTGAACTCTTCACAAACCCCAAATGCCTGTGGCTGGATCTTATGTAGTTGCCCCATTCCCAGTATGAACAGCAAACCCGTCCCAGGGCAGATTGCCAGGAGAAGGGCTGTGCCTGAAACCAGAAGCCCACAGAAATGTGTTGAGGCTGAGAAACAACTTGCTCCTGATTATTCCCTGCAGTCAAGCTGTGCCTTTACACCCGCAAAGGGTGGGCACGAGCTGTATTTGAAGTCCTAGTTGCCTTTGTTCCCTATGGCTGTGAAGAGCAACAGAGGGTAGCTGGACATACACGGCCGTGCTAAGAGGTCCTGAGCACTCCAGGTTGCTGCTGAGCACCCTGAGCCCACAGTAATCGGCTGTGGCATGCAGGTTCTCCTGCCCTCGGGTGACTCCAGACCAAAGGAGACACTTTCTGTGCCCAAGATGCTGGTCCTGCGGCCCGATGGGGGCTTAGGGGCTGCGTCCACATCTGCCTTTGGGAGGGCACCTGGAGGGTTAAATGTCTCTGTCCCAGCAGGCAGAGGAGCAGGACTGGGGAGAGCTGAGTGTTAGGCCAACGCGATTTTGACAGCGTTGATTTTCTGACCGCAGGCACAGGCCAAAAGTTTCGTGGCTGTTGCCTGGTGTTACTGGAAAGCTGGGCCCTGGCGTGCTGCTTCCCTTGCAATTTGAGGGGCACCTTGCCCTGCTTTGCTCGAGGTTGTCTAGAGAGGGCACCTTCCCAAGACTTGGTGACTCGTCAAACCTTGCCTCTGAGGTCCTCTGCCTCTCCAAAGAACTTCCTTTAACCGGGTTTTGGGGTTTGGTTTTTTTTTCCTTTCTTCCTTATCTGTGTGCTCACAACCTACTTTTTGGCTTCGGTCTCTAGCCATGACAAATGTGCCTTCTTTCTTCCTTTGCTAGCGAGAAACCAGCAATCTCCCCCTCTGCCCTACCTAGATGAAAGCTTGCTTTCCGCTTCTCACCAGGGGTTAAAGCTTGTTCCAGTTTTATTGGAGCTTGTGGTCAGTTCTCTTCTGAGAAGTCTTATATTAAAGACTTTCATTACTGGTTCTCTGTGCTCTCTCTAGGAGTGCTATTATTTTCCGCCCATAAAATTATTTATGCAGTAGTAATAAATATGCCCTCTTTCTTTTTTTTTCTCTTTTTCTTTTCCTTTTTTTAATAGCGTTTGCCTGATTGGTAACATATTGGATTAGGAAAGGCAGCTTCTTGTTGACAATTTGCCTAGCACGCCCGCCTGCCCAGACAGGAGCAGAGCTGTTCAGGCACATGCGTACCCACGTGCGCGTGGCATTTCATGGCCACCACCTCCCATGGCCGTTTTAAAGCTGTTGCACATGTGTCACCCGGGTTAGAGCCACACCACTAAACTCATTGGGTGGTAGGCTTTGCTTCCCATGGTGTTTCTCAAGAGGTGGCACCAATGAGCAAGGGAAAGGTTGGTTTGTGCTGTAAGCTGACTGGGGCTGGAGGAGAGAGTGGGCCACCTAACAAAGCATCTATCATGCACCTTGGGTCTGTCTGCAGATGGGAGTCATTATGATTTGCAGATCTCTGGCCATGCTTTGTTCTTAGTTTCCAACACACTTGATGAGAAATCAAAATCATTTGTAAGCAAGTCAGGATGTGTAATATGCAGGAAATTAAATAAAGGGGGAGAGGGAGGGAGAAAAATTAAGAAGATAGCCTGCTGTGGCCGAGCACATAATACATAGTAATAAAAAAAAATTGGGATGTTAGTCAAGTCAGCTGCAGTTGGTCTCACTTGGGGCCAATGTCCTTCACCTCGAAGTAGATGCCCTATAGGAAGGGCAAAACTACACCCTCCACTTTAAGCTGTGTAGTCCAGGGAAAGCCTCACTTGACTTCTCCAACCATCTCTCGTCCCCTGAGGAACCACACTTGAAGGAGCATCTACCAGGTGGCTGGGTTAAAATTGGCTGGCTCCTTGGGGTTTCCCAGCTGCGACTGTCCCGGCGGGCTCCCTGGAGCAGGCTGCGAGCACTGCTGGCTCTTCTTTGTCTTTCCTCTCTTCTTGCTTTCCCTTCCTCCTTCCTTGCTTTCCTGTTTCTTTTCCTTTTCTCACTGAAGAAGACAGAGGGGACATACCAAACAGAAACATTGCAGCTTCATGGTCCACTCCTTGCAGCCAGGCCGTCCCTGCATAAGAGCAAGCCCTGGCCAAGGGAGTGGGTAGGCAGCGGCGGGGACTCGTGCGTGGGGTGTTTGCTGCTGAGCCCCTCCCTGCAGGGTGGAAGCCCTGGGATGAAGCCCAACGTTTTCTCCTGCTCCTCTGCCTGAGCAATGCCTGGCGTGGCACAAACCACCCCAAGGCTGGGCTGCCATCACAAATGGGGTGGTTGTCCCCTCCGCTCCCACAGTCTGCTCCTTGGGCTGTGCCTGGCCAGCTGGGACTTGTTCTCCTCCAAAATATACCTTCAGCTTGAGTTTCTGGGCTCCCTCCACACCGGCATTTAACAAAAACACTCCACAGGGTGGATCTTGGTCAAAACACATCTTAGCACTGGGTGGGGGGCACTAGGGTGGAGGAGAAAAACATTTCTATCTTCTTACTTCCAAAGAACATCTGCCCTGCCATGACTGATGCTGCGAGTTTCCCAGCTGCCTCCTGTAGCCTTCGGGGCTGTAGACAAGTGGGGAGCTGTCAGCTCTCCTAAGCAGGCAGGGCTTCTTCCCACAAATCTTTCCATGTGTTGGCTGACGGACAGTTTGCGGTCACTCTGAGTACTGGAGCTGTTCTTTGTTGGTGTAGTATTTTTAATGGAAATATTTTGGTGGCAGGACTGGTAGCTGTGATCTCTGGGTGCCTCACTTGCCCAGCCAGCACCGCGTGTGGTGGGAGTCAGAGCCTAGTGAAGGGAGGGCAGAAAAAGGGTTGTCCAGGTCTCAGTCAGGTGTTGCTCAATTTTAAGAGCAGCAAATATGGAAGCTGGGAAGGTGCCATAAATTTATGGCAAGGCAGGACTGGAGGACAAGGGAGGACATGTGAGGAAGACTAATGAAAGGGAGAAAGGGAATCATGAGGGAACAGACTGTGTTCCTGCACCCTTCCTTCCCTCCTCTCTCTCTTCCCACCCATTTTCTGCCCTGCCTATCTGCAGTCTCTGACCCCCTGACCCTGCTCCTACTCTTTTACCATGCTCCCTCTTTCTCTCCCTCTTGCATATATGCGATCAGAAAGGCTATATCTGGTAGGCCTGCTCTCAGAGTCTCTCTTGTCCTCCTGCCCAGGTGTGCTTTGAGAGACCTGCACTGCCCACCTCCCTCCTGATCTTCCTGGCCTCCGATGGCACAGTCCCAAGCAACCAGCACAAACCATGTCCCAGCAGGGACACCAGGAACCCCAACCATTGCTATGATCTCTCACTGGATTGGGTGCTGCTGTCCCCTACCCCTCTTGTAGCATCTTCTGCTTCCCAAGCTGGTCTGTTGGGATGTGTGGGGGAGGTAAATCAAAAGCAGACAAAATATCCCTGGAGCTGAGCTAGTGGCTTCTTCCTTTGCCCTGTCTTGTAGGGACGTATGAGCTGTCTTGCCAGCACAACCCCCTCGTCATCAACGTGACCCGTGCCCAGGAGGACCCACCCCACCAGACTGCTTCGGTGCTGCTCAACTTCTCCTCCCCACTCGTGGGTATCGCAGCCGTGGCCTTGCGGACCTCAGCTCAGCATGGCTCCTCTGACACCACCACCTGCCTCCTGCAACACGAGGAGGGACATGGCCATCAGCACTACAGGTATGGTCTCCTCAGGGCACTTCCCAAGGGGCTCCCGGAGCACCCTCCTCTGGGTCTTTGTGCTTCAGTTCTGGAGCTTTTATCACCTTACTGAGTGTTTCGTGACTATTCTCAGGTGGCTTCTGAGGTGTGGTTGGGAAATATAGTGTAATGAGTCCTGATTTACTTATCTTGCTGTGGAGGGGAAGGCAGGAAAATGGATTTTGTGAGTGTCCCATGCATCTACAAAAAGCTGCACTGAAGGGACCGTTCCCTGGCGGGAAAACCAAGCTCCCTCTCCTGAGGAGTTATCGCTGAGGGTTGCTGCTGAAGCTGAAATGCTGACTTCTTCAGCACGTGCTTTACAAACTCTATCTCCATCCATTCCAGTCCTCCCTACACTTGGGAGGTGGGGATGAAGCTCTCCTCCTCCTCTCTGTGCTGGCTCCCCATCTGCCCCAGGCTCCTCAACAACTCTCACGGTAGCGGCGATAACAATAATAGTAGCAACGGTGCTTTAATTTATTGATGTCTGGCGCTCGCAGGCGTCTGCCTGTCTTCACAAAGCAGCAAATGAAAGACATCGTTTGCGGAATGGGCACTGCTCTCCGAGCGGGTCGCGCTGGCAAAGGGACGGGGAAGGGCCGTCGTCCAAAACAGACTAAATCAACGAGGCAGAAGGAGTGTGCCGAGCAGAGCCGCGGGCCCAAGGGGGAAGGAAAGGATGGTGCTCAGCTCTGTCCTAGAGGGGTGGTGGGGCTGACGACAGCCAGACCTGCCAAATCTGGCTTTGCTTTCAGATCCCAGGCTCCCTGAAGCTACAAGTCTGCCTATCCAGGACTCTGCTTCAGCCAGTAACTTAAACTGCGTCACAGGGAATACTGATTTGGGGCCCAAGCTTTGCTGGAGCTGTGGGGGTGTTAGAAGTGAAGGGCTTTGGCTAGGGTCATCGCATCGCTGCTACTACCATTTCTGTTGATGGCCCTGGATGGACGAACATCCCCAGTAATGAATGAGTGTGCATGTGTTTATCTAAAAGCTGGTGGGATCATGGCACGATTGATTTATGCAGAGTTCTGGAAGCCACGAATATCCTACAGTTGCTTTTCACTTTTTTTTTTTTTAAGTGCATGTGTAATTTATACAGAAACATAAATCTTAGTGAGTCAGCAGATAAATATTATTCTCAGCCTTACATTAAAGGATCAGCGTCTACCTGAAATGCAGTCCGTTTCCTCCTGGTAGCTCTTACAGCTATGTACACACATGCTTCTAAGACCCCAGCCAACTGATGTGGTTTTTCAATTACATTTTCTCATCCTTTAAAATAATTCTGTGCCCTCATTGCTTGAGAGCTTTCCTTTCCCGCTCAGAAGTGACTGCAAGGAGGAAGACTGACCAGACACAGCTGAGTATCGCCTATGGATGGGGAGAAGCTCATATAGGGACAAACAGAGAAAAAAAAGTAGACGCTTTTCTCTTAAAAGCCTCATTATAGCTGAAGAACATGCCAGTTCCAACTGCGTGCTGTCCCCTTGGCGTAGGCACGGCAGGACCCAGCAGGATCCTCACACCGTCCCTTCCTCCTCTCGCTGTTGTCCCGCGGGCTCCCCGTGGCCTTGGCGTAGCTGTGGTGTCCTTAGCAAACACTCTGGGTAAATCGGAGGCCCAGAGTTTTTGGAGTAGGAAATGCTATTTATAGTGTTGCTTTTCTGGGCAAAAGGGGGTTGGAGGGGGGGGAGGTTAGGCTTACAGTCTCCAGTCGTCTCGCTAACAGTGAAGGATCTGCCTCTGTTAAGTCAGGAAACATCCAAGTATTCCCCCCTTATTATATTTTTAAAATCTATTTTGTCTCCAAAACAGCAGTAATTTTATTTTTAAGGGCTAATAAGGCATTTCACATGAGGCAGGTGGAGTCTGGGGGGAAAAAAATCCCCTATAAAAATCCAGGAATATAAATTCTTAAGTGGTTTAGATATATTCGACTGTAAAAGCTCACAGCAGATCTGTGTCATTCCTGTAAAACATTGCACTGACCGTTTGCATGCACCCAGCCTCGTCTACAAAGTACGTGCATGCGAGTGCTTTCCTAAAATAACCTGAGAAAGGGACAGTAACAAAAGCAACGAAGGAACGAGGTTTCCTGACTTCAGTCCAGAACTGCTCATTGCCAAAATAATAAATATGTGACGGCTTGGTATTTCTGTAGCATCGTTCATCTTGAAGGATCTCAAAGTGCTTTGCAGGTTGGGGAAAACAAAGAGATCGTATGTTTGCTGATGAAATGCAGCCATCTCCAGGTCAGGATGCAGCAGGCATCTGATGCTAGAAAATACATCCTTGTTTTGAAAAAAAGAGTTGCCTTCTGCTTTTGGACCTGCTTGAAGCACTGAACGTTGGAAGACGGACGAGGTCCTGTGCAGCCTGCTCTGGGTGACCCTGCTTCGGCAGGGGCGTTGGACTGGGTGACCCACAGAGGTCCCTGCCAACCCCAAACATTCTGTGATTCTGTGACCATTTGCAGACCAAAGCAGCATGGTGACCCTTCCTCGCACCTCGCTACCAGCACCAGGAACCCCTCTCTCCCGTCTCTGCCAGCAGCTCAGGGCTCTTTGCTTCCTATACCCAAGCACAACCCTATGAAGTTAAGCAGAAATTGGGCTTTTGGTGAGTTTCCACCCAGGAAATTCGAACTCTCCAGCTTTCATCCTTTTCTCTGTATTTTAAAACTGAGCCGTAGTCATCCTGTTTTCCTTGATACAGGCTATATACTGAACCAGGGGAACACTGTTTGTTTCCTCCATTTATTTTTAGCTTGGTTTTATTTTTAGTGTGTTTTATTTTATGTTAGCGTATGCTGGGAAATGCCTTGGCGAGTTCACAGGAAAGGCGCTACAAAATGCAACCTGCATTGTGTTTTTTATCTCCTGTGCCAGTGCCCTCCTCTGCTCCCCTAAAAGTGGGTTTAATGCATCGAGTCTGGTGTGGATTCCTGTTATACGGAAAGTAGGTGTCAAGGAGAGAAAAATCAGACAGAGGAGGGGTTGTTGACATCTTTTTCAACTGCTAAACTTTATTCAGCAAAGAGAAGAGGACCATTGGCCAAGCAGGTTTTATTTGGTTTGTTTTCTTTCTTCCAGGTACCATATTTATGCAGGGTCAATTTATGAACTGAGTCTGTGCCGCTGTGAAAATCTGTGGGGATCTTGGGTAAAGAAGTTGATGTTTCCTTTCTTTCCATCTGGCCTAGGGTGCCCCATGGTCGGGGACCATGGAGAAAGTGGATGGACGTTTATGTTGGGATCCCAAGGTCACCCCCAACGGGCTGAGACATGCTCAGGTCAAGATGTACCTCCATTCCCGCTCTGTCCTCCTGGCCAGGGCCCACTCAAGCTATTCTTGCGTGCATAGCGCAGCCGGCATTGAGTTGTGTGCCATGAGGACAGCACGTATTGCCTGGACATCTGCTCCCTGCCTCTCCCAGGCAAATGCAGCCTCCTGGGTGCAGCATGAGGCCCGTCACAGCAGGCTGTGTCTATACTGTGCTATGAACATCCTCTTTCTCTGGCCAGGAGGAAAAAAACCTTTCAAGAACCAAGCCCAGGGTCCTGACCACCACCTTTCCTGGGGCATGGGCTCACCTCAGCCTTTGGCTCTGCCCTGGAGACCTCTCAAGGTGCCTGTTAACCTGTGGTGTTCCTCTTGCGGGTCCCTGACTGGCTGCTGGGCAGCCGTGGTCAAGGGTCTACTGTAGGACTTGAACGTTCACTTCAGCCAATGGCTTCACTGTCCAGCTGCAAGATGGCAAAGGAAATCCTTGGAGGCACAAGGACTGTTTTTATGGGCTGCTCCATTCCATTGCTCTCTGCAGCCTAGTCAGCTTCTTCCATTTCATGCTTTATATGGGGTTTTTTTAGGATGCTCAAGGCATCTCCTGCCTTTCCCTGAGACAGCCAGCCTCACCTGGAAAAACATATCTCCTAATGCCAGTTTTATTCTGAGTCAAACGCAGCAGATGAACAGCTTAGAAACTGGGTGCTTGGTGTTACCTCATGGAACGGGCCACCCAGTCTTCCTCCAAGCATGGCCAACTCCTGATGCATCGAGGGAAGGTGAATTACAACACAGAGCTGTTGTGTGGCATGAGATGCGTTTCATTCCTGACCCCGGCACAGCTCCCAGTGAAACCCTGAAGCTTGATCTCCATTCCTTTATTGTCTCACCAATGTGGACATTAAGTGTCCTTCCTGTGTCCGGTTAAGGAGGAAACAAGGGCTGGGAGGACCCCGAGGTGTGCCTGCAGAGCCCTTGGCGTAGCGCTGCAGCCAGCCTGCCCCCGTTCTGCCCTGCCTCCCCTCGTGTCACACGCAGGTACTAGCATTTTTCACAGAAACTGGATTAAACGTGTACTTCCGCAGGCTCTCTTATCTCATGTTACAGGCTGCAGGAGGCAACGAGTCCACCACCTCCCCTGCTGAGCTATTCTTATACCCAGTAACCCCCTCTGCTGAGAAGCTGCCTCTGATTTCAAGATGAAAGTTGTTGCTTTCGCTCCATCGTTGTTGGAAAGGTCTAAAAGCCTCCTGCCAGCAGACTCCTTTTCTGGGTATATGTGTCTATACAGTGTGATCAGATCCTCTTGCTATCTCCTCTCTGTCATGATAAATGTATTTTTCCTTCTTAAATCTCACAGCGTAAATCTTGCAGTCCAGCTGTGGCTTCTGCTCGCAGCTCCCTTTTGAAATCCCTCTGCTATTTCTACGTCTTTGTTGGTGGTGGACATGGATGAGAGGTGAATTCCTCTGGACAAGAGAGGAAATGGCAGAAATAAGGTGCAGCATGTTGCTGTGGGGATCGGATGTGGATGAAGGTGGTCTTTGGGACAGATGAACAGGCACCCTTGAGGAATACTGGCCGATAAACTCTACCTGCATGCTGCTCTTCTGATGGGCAGGTGCGCTGTCTGCCTTAGCGAGGGAGTCAGGCCAACTCCTACCAGGAGCGGTGAAGGTACGGTCCAA